TATAGCAGTTGTGTCATCTTCCTGTTTTGTCTATAGCTTTGGTCTAAATTGTAATTGTAAATTGTAATTTGTTTTACCCACGGAGCACTAAGGAGTTCATAAGAACTCGTTGAAACGTGTCCGTGCGTTCCAGATCGAATTGGAATTTGAACGTGTTGGTATTTTTAAGAGAGGGGAAAACCGGAGTACCCGGAGAAAAACCTCTCGGAGCAAGGGAGAGAACCAACAACAAACTCAACCCACATATGGTGCCGACGCCAGGATTCGAACCCGGGCCACATTGGTGGGAGGCGACTGCTCTCACCACTGCGCCACCCTTGCTCCCCTAGGTCTCTAACTTATGCTTGCCCTTTTTCGGTTTCCGACACGAAAATGACTGCTCATTAGACTGAAGTTAATCTAATCGATACGGGCACTCTCGATGGCGAAATACGCCTAGCTCATAGCAAATTTCCAGCTGGCAATTATAATTCTTATGGTCTCTAGCGGCCCGGATTCAAGAGATTCTTTCATTTGCAAAGCAGAGAAATTAAGACAAAAAATAATAATAATAAATAAAGATAAAATTTCGTTTATATTAAACTCCATCTATAAAAATCACTTGTTTATCATCAGTTGAGTACAAAAAAACATTTGTTCGTCCAAAGTGTAAAACTGAAAGACGCAAGAATAGTTTTCTTTTAAGTTATGTTTAAAGTAAATGACAGGAGAACTAGATAAAATTTTGTTTGTTATTGTATATAAGAACTTGACGCATGCTTTTGAATTTGTGACTTTATAACAGTCCTAAAATCGTAAATTATGCTGGATCATCTTTCTTTAATTAGTATGTAAAGCGCTTTAAAGTTGTAAATTATTGCATTTGTAAACCTTATCGCAAGTTAGCCCTTTGGCTGCAAGTTTTTAAGGTGAATAAACTATCTATCTATCTATTGCAAGACAACTGTGATGGTCTTAATTTTCTTTTTGTTCTTAGTATTGCATTTTAAAAGTTTAACCCTTTTGGCTAACTATACAGGTGTGTATGTGTTGTTATGTGGAACAGTGTAAAAGAAGGACTAGATTTGTGGTCAAGCAGAGCCCCGGAGATTTCGTGGCTCGTTGTTGGAGTGAAAACGAATATCAGACGGTTTTAACTTTAGCAAAGTGAAGAAAAACCTCCAAAATGACTCAACTGTGAATTAAAATAACGGGGAATAGGCGAATGCAGCCCTCTCTTGCCGGTAGGGACGTTTTGCGAGAGGGACAACGTCTCTTCCGCAAAACGTCCCTAGCGGCGTGAGATGCGAGGAGGGACGGCTGTATTCGCAGGCTAATCGAGTAAACGCACTTTACCAATTGACTTTTCTCTGTATATTTTTTTATCACTTTTTCAGTGTACTGAATTTTCATTTGACTCATCTATCGTGGCGCACTGCGCTCGCTTCAGAGACACTCTTCATTCAATGGTTATATCTTCGTTACATTATGCTTAGTAGACTAATATAAAGAGGTTTTAATGAGTATACATTGGTCAATGCCTGTAAAGCCCTAGTTCTAAGGGCCTGTTTACATGGTTGTGGGGGACCCCAGGTAGGTGAGGTAACATGCTTAGGTAGGGTAACCCGCCTGTCCATATAATCTCTCATTTTGATTTGATTACGTTTACATGATGGATGGGGTGACCATAAGAGAGATTCTATGGACAGGCGGGTTACCCCACCTAAGTGGTTTATCCCACATACCTGGGGTCCCCCACCGCCATTTAAACAGGCCCTAAATCTGAAGGCCTCAGTGACCACACAAATCTGACCAGAGTAATCCCTGGATACAGTTGTCTTAAGATTCAGTATACCCCCAAACAGATATATGTTGGAGCTTGCCCCTTACACGTCTTAATTTGGAAAGGCGACACGCCTCACAGAGAGGAACTTCTTACGTTAGCCCAGGCCCTCCTAAATGTAAGGCTGAGTGACTTCAAAACAGTTGAAGCAACTTTTGTCTCCTCAAATTTACCTGGTAACATTTTAATAAATGTAATGTTACCGTGACGTGTATGTTGACGTTTCCGTAGAAACCGATTGTTGACAGGCATATACAGTCGAACCTCTCGGTACGGACACCTCTCTAATACGGATTTGCACCTCCCTATTGCGGACAGTTTTTTGTCCCGACAAATTTCTTATAGATTTTCTTTAAAAAAAAACCTCTATAACACGGACTCTCTATATCAATACGGAAAACGGACGCTAAATCTCGGCCCCAGATAGTAAATTCGTATAAACGTAATCTCTTTATTACGGACACTGCGGTGATCAGATGAATCCCGAATCCCGATCAGGTGAATCTGCACAGGGTGAATCTCGTCTGGCTGATGAGCTATGCAAGGTGACTTCAAAAGCCCTGTCGCTGTATATCAAACAACGATTTGCAAAAGGTGTACAGAGGAACATAACCGACTTTTTTAAGGCTTGGATAACTACAGATAGCATAAAGATCTTTTCTATTAAATTTTGTACTCTTCCTAGTTGCTCACTGCACTTGCTAAATAGCAAAAGACACTTTCAGAATTGTGCTTTACATTACAAATTTTTACATGCAGCATCGAGGTGTAGCTTGCATTGTTTCGTCAGTTTATATTAAAACAGTGATTTGTCTGTACGTACGTAGCTGATATGTACAATGTTGTATATGCTAACACAGTGTCTTTGTACTGTGAATTAATAAACTTAAATGCAGTTTAAAGACGAGTCTAAGCCTGGTTTTAGCTACCGAACACTTAAAAATGTAAGTGGAGTAAAAAAAGTGACGTCACTGTAGTGACCTCTTTTATACGGACACCTCTGGCTAATACGGACACTTTACTCGGTCCCTTCGGTGTCCGTATTAGAGAGGTTCGACTGCATTGAAACTCTGTAGGGTTTCACTGGGTCTGTTACAGAGGGGTGATTATTGTGAATGGGCAGCTTCTTTTCTTACAGAACGACTTGGTTGAAACATGGTATATCAATAAGGCTCCTGGAATTGAATGAATTATCACTGGTAAAAATATATTTAAATATACAGTTATTTTCAAGAAAGAACCGATGCCGCGAGGGCTTTACAGCCCGGCTTTACAACAGGTAGCACTTGACTGACTCAGCAGGTTAAAAGTATCTTCCTTCAATGAACATAATGTCAAACAAAATCGGTTTCCTGGTGCATCACTCAGCCTTATTTTAGTGTCAAACGACCAAAGACAAATTTACAGATGACATTGACTTTCCCTAAAATTGCACGATTTTTCATATTGATGTCTAAAGTCTCTGGAGAGACAGATGATGATTTCGGTAAGTATTGAGAGTGTTTAATAGATATTTATTTAGCTATACTCGCACAGCGAAATTGCTATTAAATCCTTCCGTTTCTTCTAGAAGAAACAGGCTTTTACTTACGACAGAATAATGTAAACAAATATAACGACATGCAACAGTTCCCTCAGCTTTTGAGCCACTTATGTTCATACTATACCGGCGGATAGCTTTTCGTGGTGGCACGAAAAGCTATTGGGTATCCGGTATAGTACGGAACAACAACAGCCCGGTACTGGTATCGTTCACACACTAGAACGGTTGACCGAGAGGGTTTGATGCACTAAAGCCCTGTCAACACAAATCAATTTCAAAGGCATGCGCTTTCCTTGTAAACGAAAACGCATTGATCGATTCGAGTCCACACCACCGTTTTGATGCTTTCTCCACTGTCCAGAACGTTCGAAAACCGATGGAATTGCCCATTGTGACGTAAGTTAAACTATATGCTTGCGCATACTACAAACACACGAGCCTGTGATATTTTCGATCATCTTTTTCATTTTGATGCATTTCGACCGCTGTTGCGACCGTCCACACCAATATTATAAGTATGTGTTTTCGATTTGATCCACTTTCAAAAGCGTTTTCAAATTATTTATTCCCTGCAAACAGTGTAAAAATAAAACTTAAGTTGGAGTCAGTAAGATCNAAGAAACAGGCTTTTACTTACGACAGAATAATGTAAACAAATATAACGACATGCAACAGTTCCCTCAGCTTTTGAGCCACTTATGTTCATACTATACCGGCGGATAGCTTTTCGTGGTGGCACGAAAAGCTATTGGGTATCCGGTATAGTACGGAACAACAACAGCCCGGTACTGGTATCGTTCACACACTAGAACGGTTGACCGAGAGGGTTTGATGCACTAAAGCCCTGTCAACACAAATCAATTTCAAAGGCATGCGCTTTCCTTGTAAACGAAAACGCATTGATCGATTCGAGTCCACACCACCGTTTTGATGCTTTCTCCACTGTCCAGAACGTTCGAAAACCGATGGAATTGCCCATTGTGACGTAAGTTAAACTATATGCTTGCGCATACTACAAACACACGAGCCTGTGATATTTTCGATCATCTTTTTCATTTTGATGCATTTCGACCGCTGTTGCGACCGTCCACACCAATATTATAAGTATGTGTTTTCGATTTGATCCACTTTCAAAAGCGTTTTCAAATTATTTATTCCCTGCAAACAGTGTAAAAATAAAACTTAAGTTGGAGTCAGTAAGATCAGAAATGACTCCGGTGTTGATGCATTTCCGCTGAAAACACGCAGCTTATTAGTGTGGATAGCAGGCCTGAACGCATCGAAATGCACGCGTTTTCAAACGAGACAAAGACCGCATTAGTGTTGAAGGGGGCTGTATCTCAATCCTCATCCGGTTACATGGTGTTTCGTCCAAAAGGTTTAGCAAATTTTCCATCTACTGAACGTTGGAAATTTAGCTGTTTGCAGGAGATTGGCCTGTAAAGCTGGCGGTTTCGAGCGCGCCGGAACTAGCAAACTCGTTGTCGTGTCTCGTTGTTTCCATCCTGCCATAATGCCACCCCTCCCCCCCATCCACAACCAAATTACCACCTACGCGGGCTACCAATATTTAAAAAATTAGATGTATATCATTTGTCTGTTGCCTTCTATTCAGTTTTCCTTTTATTATTTCAAGGCTTCGTTGGCTTGGGATGTTGGCGTTTACCCGAAAACGATACAGTAGTAGCAATAAGCTTGGAGGGATCTCATAATGGATTGGAAGGACTTTACTGGGATAGGTCTGTATTGTAACTGATTTTTTAACTTAAATTGTTGCACCATTATACTATTCTGGGAAACTTCCCACCTACCCTCCCCTAAGCCAACTTTTTGACCTAAGTAAGTGTTAGTGTTGGCTTAGCGGAGGGGTTGGTGGGCAGTCAGTTCCTTTTACTTCATCGGAGGGCCGGAACCCATTGTTAATGGATGAAAATTTGGGATTGTTTGCCATTACAATGAGAGTTGTAGCCTGAAAAGTAAATACAAAATAACAAATGGAAAATTTCCTGTCTGTAAAAAGGTATTTTTGATTTCCCGTTTGGACCGTTGCATCGGAAATTTGTGTTCCATTTCTTCAAACCCTGCTTCAGGCCTTCACGGCTATTTATCTAGGAATGTAATCGAAAGTTACATCAGAAGCTAATAACCCGGAGGGAGCGACTTCCATGCGCTCTTGTCCGGAGTTTTCACGGACCAGTTTATTTTAAGAACGATTTTGGTGCAAAGTTTGAATATCTTTTAAATTTCACAAACTAGTGAGCGAAACCGACAGACCGAAAAACGATAGTTTAATAACGTTTAGTTTACTTTTTGATATCTTAAACTTTGAATGCGTTCATAGACATGGTGGAGATTCTATTTTCCCGTAAAAAGTGCCTTAAAATGTGTCTAAAAATAAAACTGGTCAGTAAAAACGCCGTAACATAGGCCTAGTGCTATATAGTATGGGAGTTACTCACTCTGGTTTATGGGCTCCAGGCAAATGAGGAACGTTATGCCTCTATTTCCGCCCTTGGTTTTCAAATCTCTGATTTAACTAACCTTGTCACCGAAGACCATAAATTGGGGACCGATTCCTCTAGATTCTCCATGCAAAAAGAAGATGTAAATTCCGGTATCATTTCTTGAAACCCGCGCGTCGGTTCTATTTTCTTAAAACCCACCTTTTATCAATCGATATCAACCTGGTCCCTGCCCACCACTTTCAAGCTTCCGCGGACTAGAAAAAAAAAACTGTTTGTTTGTTTTTTTGTTTGTTTGTTTGTTTTACCGTACAAATGAATAGCATTGAGTTGTATCTATTAACGACATATTAAAATGGCACAGTTTTCATTGTATTCTTCGAAAATCTTCCTTTTTACTTTATACAATAATAAATGAAAAAAGGATCATCACTACTGGTCCTAGTACCTCGGTGCGACCATACAAATGGCATTAACTTCATTCTTTTTTTGTTTGTTTGTTGTTGGTTTGCTGTTTCAAAATAAACCGTGAATTGCTGACTGCGGAATGATTGAAAATCTTGTCCCTAGTCTCCCTCAGTTTGCCAAAGCCTCTATTGGATTGCCTGGGACATTATTCCGCAAGATGGCTGCCAGGCACCATCGTCAAAGATCGAGTTTTGTCTTGTTTACAACGAAGTCATGGCTTTTATTATTCTTTTATCCGAACTAATGCAATCCCTAGAACGTAATCTTGGAAAAACGACCCAACTTCGTGATGAAAATGCTTTTATTTTGCACATAAACGGTCAATATGATTGAAGCCTGCGATTGAAAGTATTAAGGTAGGTAGCATTCACAAAGTCGTAAAAAAATGAAACTAGAATTTAAAAGGGCGCTGCGATACTTGTTTTTTAAAACCATTAGTATGGTGCCGTGAGCTTAGAATGCACGAAAAAAAGAAAACCGAACCAATATTTATAGGTGGAATCCTGTCACACACTGATCCCAAATTCATGTAATTCAGCTTATAATTTTGTTCCCTAACTCGACATACCCTTCCTTGTAGAAGAGTTTGGTTTAAAAGTGTAGGTTGTGGAAAGTTGTCTTACTAGCTCTACTGCTGTTTTGCAGAGCTAATTCCGTCACACAATGTGCTGCAGTGGCTAAAGACAAAGGATATGAGTACTTTGCAATCCGGAATGGTGGTGAATGCCTTTCAGGTAGAAACCTTTACTCTGGGTATAAGGAACACGGAGAATTAGACGAATGCTTTGATGGTGAAGGAGGTCATGATGCCATGAATGTGTAGAACATAACAGGTAATATCTAATATTTTACCAGGTTTCAAAGGAGAAAAACCCCTTTAATGTTGCTTAACCGGCAATTTGAATGCAAATGAATAATAAAACATCTATTTTCAAACAAAACAGTTAAATTTGTCTGATTATCTTGTCCCGGAAAAGAAAAAGGACACTTGTTTAATATTACATGACCGGTCAGTATAAAATATGGACCGCGGACTGCGGACTGCGGACTGCGGACTGCGGACTGCGGACTGCGGAATGCGGACTACGGACTGCGGACTGGGTATAAAATATGGACCAGGTATAAAACGTGGACTAGAAAATACAGACTGGAAATAAAACACGGACAAGGTATAAAACGCGGATTGCGGACTGCAGACTGGGTATAAAATACGGACTACAGACTACGGACTACTTTGGTAAAAACCGTGCAAATTGGTTCTAGGTAAGGAAAAATAAGATCAAAAGATCGCTAAATAGCGAGACACGTGAGTTAAAGTTGTAAATACTCCAATAAATTCTTGGTGGAGGTGACCCGCGCGGTTCTCTGAATCATGAGCCGGATCAAAATGCTATTTTCTTCACCCATTTTTAGACTTTGTCTTGGTCTCTAACAATCATGAAAGGGGTCAGGATCAGGGGTGGTACTCCCTTATATAATGGAAGGGTAGGAGTTTTGGGCCTTTTTGGTCTGAAAACAGTTTGCCCATTTTAGTGTGGAATCGGGTATGGTTTTCGAGGGAACTACGGGAGCGTACATGAATGGACGTATTTATCGTTTCAATTCCAAATGAATAAGAACGAAATAGAAATGTGCGAATTCGAAATGCATTTGCAGAATTTTTTTTTTTCCGCTCTAACTTGGTAATGATGACAAAATTTCTGCCTAATTAGACCTAACCTGTTCAAGGCTCTGAGATAGTTGGGTCCGCTGAATTGAGAAAGCGAAAACACGAAAAAAAAGGGAGAAAACTGGGGAGTCTCCCTAACTATCTGAGAGCCTGGAACAGGCTAAATTAGGCCAGGTCTGAAAATGATTTACTAGTGCAATAGCAAAATTCACTAGCCTTGAACTATTGAACACTACTAGTCTTTCTTTGCATTCTGAGGGCAGGGGCTGGGGATTTCCCCAGTTAGGAAACAAAAGGAAAAAAAAAAGAACCAAAAGAAAATTGCTGTTCAATTCCTCACCTGCTAATTGCTTATATCCCTGCGAGAATAAATCTTAGTGACAGTCATGTATGCTAGAAGGAAACCTCAGTTAGTAGGGTTAGAGAAATGGCTTAATTGCTTCTGGGGATCAGTTAAACCCTAAAAATAAGCTAACAACAAAGATGTAGCAAGCCATTTTGTAAGCTTATAGCCAAACAACGAATGAAAAATCATATAAAATATAACTTTAAAACTCCACCATTTTTTCACCCTTCTCTGGTATTTGTATGTAATACACAAACAAACATTTAATCATATTTAATCATATTCATTGGCGTGAAAAGGTTGACGTTTGAACCGGGCCTAAACGTCGAACTTTACATGTGCCGACTGGGAACCTAATACCTATTTAGGTCAACCCAAACTATTAAGTTCGACTGTTGATTCAGACGTTCGAACTTTACATGTGCCGAACCTAATTCGTGGCGAAAAGAAATATCATCCTTACTGCTTAAAATAGCGAAATAAACTGAAAAGAGTATATTTCACCAAGCCTGGAATTTCTTGTTGTGATTTTAGAGTGATTTGTGTTCCGTTATGGCAAGGAGACAGCTGAGGAGATCTGATCGTGATATTTGGACAAAATAGAGTAATGCCATAAATTTTAAAATACATTACGATTTCTTTATGGATATAAAGAAAAGCAACATTTTAGAACACCGTTTTAAGCTGTCCAGTTTCGGTTTAAAAATCTGCAACGTGAATGCTGGTAACCGTCGTTATGCTTCGGTGAATTCTGTCCACGAAGGCGCAAAAACCCACTAAATAGCTAATCAGAAGCGCGGTTATATTGAAAAATACGTACGTTAACATAATTTATGCATTAGGTTCGGCACATGTGAAGTTCGACGTATGAATCGAAGTCGATCTTTTGCCGTTCTATTCGACAAGCTTAGTCGAATAGAACGGCAGATTCGACCCAAATACAAAAGTGCCGTTCCTTACTGATTCATACGTCGAACTTTACATGTGCCGAACCTAATTAATTAGGTTCGGCACATGTAAAGTTCGACGTTTGAACCGGGCCTAAGAGATCTGTTTTTAGGAACTGAGTGTATGGCTAGCAAAAACAAATCAACTGACGTTCTAATAGTCTCCCTCGCAGCCGTTTTTAGTATCGTCAGGCAACGCTCCTCCCCACAAACTGCTCACATTCAAACAACATTCCTTTCCACCACTTAAACCAATCACCATGTAGTTTACATATTTCGGGAACTAGGCGCGCCAACGTAATCTAGCCAATCATATTGTTTCTTTTATCTTGGAGTCCACTGCTTCCAAAATGGCGACCATTGAAGAAGCTTTTGACGTTGTTAGCAAGACATTTCGAATTTCTACCTTAAATGCGCCGCAAAAAAACGGAATTACGAAAATAGTACTAAAAACGGCTGCGAGGGAGACTAACGTTCTAAAGGCATGAAACGTTGATTAACTGGCCATAGTCGAGAGGTTATTTTGGCAGCAGTTGGGACGCGCTTAGTGGCCGTTGCCTTTGTGGAGACGTGGCCGTTGTAGAGAGGTTAAAATAATAGTGAATGTATAGACCGTCCGCCGGGACAAAAAAAAAGTGGCCGTTGTAGAGAAGTGGCCGTTAGTGGAGGTTAGACTGTAATTATCTATGTGTAGACAAAGCTGCAGTGTCTTCTATCGCCTATAAGAGAAACTTTTTGTGGTTATTTTTGTGCGATATTCGTGAATTCTAAAACCTGCAAAAATGAAGAGGAAACGTGTGGTTCAAATGGTGAATTTTACTTTCTACTTCTTGTACTCTACACGACCAATGCAGTTCAAAAACGCTTATTTACACAAGGACGCCTGTACATGTACAGTCGTTTTTACTCAGTGTCATCATCAGTCAAGTGAAATTAAAACGTGTCATGTGCTTTCTCACGCCTTGTTCATGATTTAATCAGGTAACTGAACCCTCCCACGTCGTCATGGATACAAATACTTTCACTGAGAATTGCATGCTCGTGCCCGAAACTGATGTTCGTTTCCAGAGTTTCCAATTATTTTATTTTGATGGCGCCTGCATGTATAATAAATGGCAGTTTTTTTAATCCCTAAAAGAAAACCATGGAAATTCGCCCTGAGCTGAAAAATATCACAAGACCTTGTTAATATTAAACAGATATTGATGTGAGCATATATTGGGCGGTGTCGTTGTTCCAACTATCTTTGTGCAGACTCTTGCAGAGGATATAGTTCAAGTCAAAGGGAAGAAAACCTGGTTCGCCGTTGATACCAAGTAAGATATGGTGCTTTATATGATCTTTCAGCTACTGGAAATCTACATGGTTCATTTTTATTTTTAATTTTTGTTTGCAGCAGTTTACGCGACTTATCTTTTGTCCATTGTGTTTTCTTTTTGGTTCTGACTGATGTCTTAGTAGTCCGAAATTCTACGACAGATCGAAATTTGCGTTGAATGGTTTCCAGCTACTCACTTCGTCATTTTTTCGATCGGCAGACTGTTATCATTAGCGAGCATTTCTAGACAAATCATTTCTCCTTTGCATTCATAGGCTTGAAAATTGTTACAGGAAAGAAAAATTCTTAAAAATTGATTAAATTGGTAACGCCTTTTAGGAGCCTTATAAAATCCTTTTTGCAGAAACATTTTAGACGCACTAACAGTATTGTTTTTCTTCAATTTTGAATTTATTGTTTGATTAAATTTTCACACTTAGACTTGGTTTCCTTTTCAACTTTGGAAAAGGCTATAAATGAAACTAATCTTGCCTTACGTTATCTTATCTTTCTCCATTTGCCAGTCATGTATTTCAGGTGTGGAATCTTTTTGCTGATACTCGTCGGCTGTATTGGATATTGTAAGTATACAAGACACACGCAGGCGCAGGCGCACACTCGTACTCGCCCGCGCACACTTACGTACACGCGCACATACGCGCACACACTCACCCGCGCACACTCACGTACACGAGCACACTCACGCGCACACGCACATACAGTCATACAATACTTAAACAATAAAATGTAGTTGCAGAAAAATAGAATTTGATTCTTTATAATCAAGAAGTTACCAGAAGTTTTCAAAATTTTCAATTTTGTTTTCCTCGTTGCTTATGTTATGTTCTGTTTGTTCTTTACAGGTGCAGGTATGGTTTTCCAGCTTTGTGACTTTGCAGAAAGGAATAACCTGAAGAGTTACAAAAAGAATTATTCTTATACTCAACTTTAACTTGGGATAATAATTCTCTATAACAACAGAACTCACATGTGATTATAATAGCTCGGCTATATCACTTGGTGCACTTGCAATGCCATAAGTTCATAATGAAGTTTGAAATCATAAATGTTGCAAGACTAGCTAATGAAAGAACATCGGGCAGAATTTCGAAGTTGTTCGTGGTTATCAATTTGTTGTGGCCGTTTTGTATTCCTTCATCCTCACACATTAGTCACTGGGCTACAGCCTTAGGTTAGTTTAGAACTTGTTTTGTGTCTCCCATGAAGGCAATCTTTCATTGAATTTCAGGCATGGAAGCAGATTTATGTTAAAATAGTCATTTAGGATGACTTTTAACGCTTACTTGGTACTATTTTTACTTGATAAGGTTGTCCACCAGGCTGTATCGCGTTGATTTGCTACCGAGTTAAAGAATTATTTGGCTACAGTCTGTGCAAATGTTTAAAATTGCTAATGCAAGCGATCAATTCTTTACTAGGTGGATGTGTGGATTCACGTCCTGACTGTAATGTGTTGGCACGTGACAATAATTGTCACAGTAACCCGTATACAACATTACGAGATTGCCCCATCGCCTGTGCCGTCAACTGCGGTAAGTATTTCAATCTAGCCTTCTCAGCTTCAATTCGTCTTTCTGCCGAGAAAGGCGCTTCTAGTAGGTTTCCACTTCGTTTAACCTTGGAATCAAATTGAAAGGTTGTAAAGCGTTTGGCCAACGATTGTGTAGTCTATAAATAAGTCGTTGAAAGAACCAGTCTCCAGATAAACTCAAGCAATCATAAAAAGAAACATTTTTCACTCACTGTTTTTCAGCCTCCGTTAGGGGTTGACACATCATGCTCCTAAAACCGAGCGTTATGTTTTTTTGCGTCACCCTCAAAAAACGGAACTTAAGCTCCTAATTATGCTCGACTGTCGCTATTATGCTCGTTACTATGCCGCTAAAATTTTCCTGCCCCCTCCCTCCCGCGAAACAAACGTAATTTTCCTGATATATTGTTAAAACAAAGGTACAAAAAATCAAAATAATCAAATTGAGATAACTGCTCCTACGAAAGAACGCAATATTCATAAGTAAATCAGTAACACACAGTGAACATTTAACTCAAGGGATAACAAGTAAAGCTGGAAAGTTAATACTTGTAACAAGTCAAATGTGCTTAATAGTAACGAAAACTTCCTAGAACTTTCTACCAAATAAATGGACGCTAGTAGCTAAAATAGCTAAAACAAAACAACAAAATAATGATTGTTTTAACGCAGAATAGCACTATGGTGCCGGCAAAATAACACTATTAGGTCAGCATTATGCTTGATGCTCCACCTATGCTATTATACTCGAAATTGTACCGGCATAATGTTTCAGTTTGATTTGTTTGATTTTTCTATAGTGCCCTGTGTGGATCACAGATGGGACTGCCCAAGCCTTAGCGACGACTGCCATAGCAATCCGTTCGCTACAATCAATTTATGCCCAAAAACCTGTGGTGCTTGTACTTAAGAGAAATCTGTGATCGGTAATTTTCCTTCTTCAGATACTTTTGAATAACTTAAAAAAATTCCCTGGTTGCAGCTTCAAGTTAAAGATAATTTATTCTGTCTAATATATATACAATTCATAGTGATACGCTTATTCCTGAGAACGACAGATGTCTGTCGTTTTGGTGCGAATCCCTCTTTATGAGCTGTCGAGTGCAGTAGCGCTGGCACACTACAACACTCTTTGACTTATACTTTCTAATGATTTAACCCTTTAAAATACGAAATTACAGGGCCACCCAGCGAGTTCGCTTTCAGAATCATTAACGAGCACAGTCCTCAAAAAGGAAACAAAAAATTGGTCCTTTTAAACTAAAACTTTTGCTGAGAACGTAGGCTTTAGCTGTTCCTCACGCTTAGGAGAAACGTATCTTAAATTTCATTTGCCAGCAGAATCTTGGAACCAGCCAGCAACAACAAAACCATCCAATTACTTCCTTAACCTCAATAGGGCGTGGATGAAGGTCAAATATAGACCCCGACGTACTTGGAAATTCTCCTAAGTAGCGTCAAGCGAGAAGAGTGCCAATCAATAGGGAGAATTAGTCAATAGACTGACTTTCCTTTAACTTTTTATTAGAAACATGCGTATAACTTGAACCTTACTAACTGCTAAAAGCTAGGCGCTATAACATGAATTAAATTTTATCTCCAGAGAAAAATGGATAGTTTTGCAACACAAACATTCAGGATCCAGATCAAAGATTGCTAAAGCAAGTGTGGGTGATAATTGTAACTGCTGGGGGAAAACACTGATACGATGTTAATAAAGCAAGGGAATAAATGGAACTGGTTGTGTTGGTCTGTTTTCTTATCATCCTGTTATTAAACAAATTGTGATAAAACTCAAGATCCGAAGGAGAACTAAAAAAAAGAAGGGAGATTAGGGAGGAAGGAAAAATTTAGAAAACGCCAAAGCCCACTTACGGCCGTATCTCGAGTCCATTTCTTCCCTAACCTCTACCAATCAATAGACTCTTTTAATTAAGTGATATGTGACACTAACTAGCCGAGAACCATAAGAACCATACGTAAGATAGACTTTGAACATTCGCCGTGGTGGGTGAGGTTCTCACCAAGAGCCATAATGGGACTTATGGCTCTTGGTTCTCACGTAACACGAAATAGTCTAGTTTCGAGTTTACCAATGCTGCTGAATAAAAAGACTAAAGACGCCTCTGTACAGTGTTAATTCTGACTCTGAAGTAAAATATTCGTAAAATACCACTGAGAATACGAACTATCTACAACTATTTGCATTGTTTCATCTTACGCTTCCGCGCTTAACTGGATATTTTACATTGATTGAGACTAACACTGTATAGACGGGTCTTTTTTCTTTTTATTCAGCGGTCTTGGTTAACTCGAAACTGGACGATTTTCACGTCGTTGTTTCTAAAAGACCGCAAAGAAATTTCTGAAATTTGCCAATATGTACAACGTATACTAGAATAAGCAAATTAGCTTTAGAAAACCATTACTCAGAACTCTCCGACCAACCTACCTCGGAAAATGAATAATTACGTAATCCCTAGGAAACTTAATTAAGAGAAGACGACTGTAAAATACAACGATGATTTGAAGAAAGAAAGAAAAGCCTATTGCTGCTTCCTATTTAATTTATATTCACGACTAATACACAGGCAGGGTGGTCAGCTCGAATTGTGAGCCCGAGTGTTTAATGCCGTCCGGTAGCATTGCATAGCTCAAATAAGATACTAGTTACTAGGTACACAAAAAAATATATACCACTCAGGCTATAAGGCTTGTGCAACCACCTGATACGAAAACCCAAAACCCAGTGGGAAAAATGGGAACGTATTCCCCAACCAAATGCAGGCGCATCAACCTCTGGGGGCTAGAATTGATTACAAGATTTCCAGACTTTTAAAAATGAATAAGTCTAAAAATTAAAAGTTCGACAGCTGAGATGAATATATTACAACGGTCAAAACTTATACGCCTTATTCATAAATGGCGGACGCGCGGTTAAGACTTGAGCCGAGTACGCGAAAGCGAGGCTTAAGAGGCATCAGTGGTTCCAACGTGGCTTAAGCTCGAAAGTTTTGTTCGAACGTTTGTAGATTGTTTTGCTTTAAAAAGCATATAGGAGGGCACGGTTGATAACGTAACTTAGAAGTACTGATTGAAGATTAAATTATCGATTGTTTTTTTGTAAAAAGTTTTAAAATGGCGGCAAGTTTTGCAGTTACTTTGAGTGGGGACGATATTCCCGGTGCATTTTTCGAGGGAAGAAACCCTGCAGAACTCAACAACGATGCCTTGAGGTTTTGGCTGAAATGCCAGGGAGATAAATGTAAACAAAGACTCAGCTGTTTAAGGTAAATTAAAATTAGTAGTACTCCTAAGCTTAAGCTTATTCTGTTCAGCGTGTTTTTTAATGGTGAGTTGATAGTTATCGAAACTGACATTTGGGTAACATGCAGTCGAAAATCAATCCATTTTCTCGAGGGTTGATCAGTATATCGAATTCGGTTTAAAAGACGTCATAGTCGATCCACATGCTGATTTTATATACGCGGAAAGAAAAATTGTGAGAGAACAGGCAAATAGCTGCAAAGATACTGTATACCTGACTCTTGTAATATTAGTACTGTTTCTCAGTGTCAAAAGAAGATACAGGTTAATTAGTGATCCGACTATTGGGTGAGGGACGTCACTGAAGAAAATAACTTTTTTCTCCCGTACCGAAATGGATGACTATGTTGAACACACAGGAAAGAGTTTGGGCTGTGCTGGTAAGAAATCCGCGGTTCGAACCGGGCTCAAGTAAGCGGCAACCGTTTCTGAATGATGAATATCTTAAAGAAATTGAAAGCTACGACGACCAACGATATTTTTTTGAGGGTTGAAAGTTTTATCACTTCTTCAGGAAGATCTGTCCCCCTCATAATGTTTTTTGAGCATTACGTATTGTCTCGGGTAAAGTTGAAGATTCCAAATACTCGTGCGTTGCGGGCTCGGGTTCCCTGGGCTAATACGATCATTCTTTAGCTTTAATGCTGAATGCGTGTAAATGTAGCCTAGATGGGTCCCAAAACACTAAAACCCTAGAAAATGAACATGTTCCCAGATCAACCTTCCACCTCTAAACTTTAAACGTGGCATCAAAAAGGGGCCTGGGGAAACTATCTACCCCCAGCCTATTGTGTGAGACGTTATTGTTTCAAAAACCAAACTCGAAGAGACTAGACGGGGAAACGAAGGAATTCATTCTCTCGTCTACGAGGCAAGGAATAATGTAGTATACAGAAGCTCAGAGGAGCAAAAATTCAAGCAGGCAGTCAGAGTTATAAACCCTCCAATGGGCCTTGCTCATATTGTCAATCTTGGGAGTGAAACACAACTGAAAGAAACGCAATTCGGAGAAACCCGGTTGGTTCCTACGCGAGCTACCAGCCTAGCCACACCGTTTCTGATATGAGCCAGGCGAGTGGTTCACTGATGTTCCCCCTTATCGACGAGCGTGGGCAACGAAAACGTTGAAACTCTATTGGTTTTGTCGGCAAAACAATTGCATTCTGTATGTGCATCACACTTTTCCTTACATTTTCTTCGACCTCTACTGCACGAACACGACATTAAAATTCATAATTTTTTATTACACGTAAACTAGATCAAACTAGACAGGATTTACGCTTAATTTTCCTTACTTTTTTGGAACTTCGATACCGCAGTTGGCTCGACCAACTCGACTAATTTGGAAATAAACAGAGGTTTAGACACTGGACAAAAATTCTTACTTTCTTCAGGATTCAAATTCGATTTCTTTACTGGAGGAGAAATCGTACCCGGATCTTTCGGCTTCGTCAGAGTAAGTGATCATAGCATTTGGTTAAAACAGAAGCTGTCTAGAGGGACTGAATAGGGGGGGGGGGGATGCACATGTCGGTTAAATTTTCATTACTTTGTCGGTGTCGTTAACGTTTTCGCCCTTTGTCCTTGTTGGTAAATCTTGGTTAATGATTAAAAAACAAGTTAATTATTCGTTATTTAAGGCGTTTCGATACAGTTTTTTCGGAGACCATAACGATATTTTTCATTCGCCTTAAAAGTGATTTTATCCTTGTCCGATTGCTATGAAAGTTTATATATCGAACGTGGGCTATTGGTAAATTAGATTTAGATTTAGATTTTATTATTTTTGCACTCTTTACATATTGTTTACATTGGAATTTTAATTAGTATAAGTACCTTACGGAACAAAGTCAGAAATAAAGATAACAAGAAATTTAAGGAATTAAGATGTGCTAAAGTAACAATATTGACGTGTATTAAACAAAAAACAAAAAGAAAGCAAAGAACAAAACAATAAAGACATGTATAAAAGTGGTTAAACTAAAGTAAACTAAATCAATATATTCTAGGAACCAGATTACGAATTTAGCAGATATAACTTGAATTGTTTAGAGAAGCGGTAGTAACATAGCTTTTGAAGCTCCAGTGGAATAGTCTCCCATATTTTCCACGCAATGAAAGAAAAAATGGAAGCTCCATAGTTATAATTTATTTGTGGCAAATGGAAGTTAAGATTAGAAACAAATCTAATATAATGACTATGGAAGTCGCAAGCTGGAGGTAGAGTTCCATAGAATATTGTTGGGATGCCTGTTGGATCATTAATGATTTTATGTGCAAAGAGTGCTACTTTAAGTTTGAAAATGTTATCAAATTTGAGGATATGCAATAAATTATAGTAAGACGTAGTATTTTCTCTACTTTGTGCAAAAAAAATTGAACGAATGCATTTATTTTGCTTAGTCCTGATCCCATTCAGCCTAGTTTTGCAAGCACTTCCCGAGCTAGTGATAGCATACGGTAGGTTAAATATGAATAGATGAAAGAGTAATACAGTTGTTTCATTGTATGCATTTTTACATAGTGTCTTAATTTGGTAATAATTTATATATCTTTTGCTAATTTATTGTTAATATGCTTAATCTGAGGTCCCCAGTGTAAGTGTTGATCTATATACACACCCAGGTACTTTATTTCGCTTTTGATCTTTATGTTCTTTACATTTATACCTACACTTAACCTTGAGGATGAGACTAGGATGAAATTTGTCTTTGAAAAGTTTGTAGATAATTTGTTAATGGCACATTACTTAACTTCTGACTACAATCCATCATTCATGTATAAAACATATTAGCGTCATCAGCAAAGATTCGGAAGGATAGTTTGCTTGAACAGTTTGGCAAATCATTAATATAAAGCAGAAATAACAATGGACCCAAAGGTGACCCTTGAGGTGTACCACAGCTAATGATCTGACTGCTAGATATAGTGTCACCAATTTTGACAACCTGATTACGATTTTATAAGTAGTTTTCAAACCATCTGAGATGATTTCCACGTATACCATATCTATAGAGTTTCAATAACAGAATATCATGGTTAATTGTGCCAAATGCCTTTGAAAAGTCAAGAAAAAGACCGCGGGTGACCAATTTTTTATCCATAGCATTCTTAAGTGAGTCAGTAATTTCTAAGATAGCCTGCTCAGTGGAGTATCCCTTCCTAAATCCAAATTGATACTTATTCAAAATGCTATATTTTTCAAGAAAGTTGTATAGTTGGTTATAAATTAACTTTTTAAAAACCTTACTAAAAGATGAGAGAGTTGAAAAAGGCCTGTAGTTGGCTGGGTCAGTTGCATGACCATTTTTGTAAACTGGAGTAACCTGTGAAACTTTTAATATATTTGGAACTATACCAGTTTCAGTCGATTGATTATAAATTTGCGTGAATGGAACAGATAATGGCTCGGCAGCTATTTTTATTAGTTTGTTGGGGATGCCAATTGATGATTTGTTTGTATCTAGGTTTTTGAACAAGTTAGAAAATTGTTGTTAATTGTACAACTTAAAATGTTAAACGTTGATAAAACGACTTCCAAGTGGCTCTAGAAGCAAAGAGACAGTAAATAACAAAACAAAACCACAAGGTGAGTCATTTTTATTTCCATTTTTGTCAAAAAATGGATTTTAGGACGTATTTTGTGTATTTTCATACGTTATCTTATTTATTCAAAGTTTACCCACCGAACTCCCACAGATCAGAGTCTGACCGCCTGTGCTTAACCATAAAAATTGTTTTAGACTGTTTTTACCAGCTNTATTTTTATTAGTTTGTTGGGGATGCCAATTGATGATTTGTTTGTATCTAGGTTTTTGAACAAGTTAGAAAATTGTTGTTAATTGTACAACTTAAAATGTTAAACGTTGATAAAACGACTTCCAAGTGGCTCTAGAAGCAAAGAGACAGTAAATAACAAAACAAAACCACAAGGTGAGTCATTTTTATTTCCATTTTTGTCAAAAAATGGATTTTAGGACGTATTTTGTGTATTTTCATACGTTATCTTATTTATTCAAAGTTTACCCACCGAACTCCCACAGATCAGAGTCTGACCGCCTGTGCTTAACCATAAAAATTGTTTTAGACTGTTTTTACCAGCTAATCTCCTAATTTAAGAAATCGTCAATTGGAATCTCACGTTTCTCGCTTGCCGTAAACGTGGTTGTAAAGCTATGATACCTGACAGCTTTTCGTGCAGACACGAAAAGCTGTTCGGTATAGTAGGATACAGTGGAGGATCCAGGGGAGGGGCCCAGGGGGCCCGCCCCCCCCCTTACTTTTAGACCAAACTGACGCCCGAAGGGTCGAAAAAAAAAATTTTATTTTTGGGACCAGGGCTCCCCTTATCTCAGGGTCTAGATGATCGACCCCCTCCCTCCCTTATCTGTAGGTCTGGATCCGCCACTGGGATATGAGAAGAACATTAATTAACCACTTAAAGGACTGCAAAGGACCGCAAACGAAAATGCCGACGAACGTAGGTTTTAGATAGACCTGGCTACAATCCCGCCCTGTTTTGAGTTCTTTCGGTGTCTTGTGGCTGTCTTGCAAAGTTAATTTTCACCTAGTACGTTCAGCATTGAAGTATTCTGTTTGCAGAATTTAATGTGTCATAGGATAGCAGAGTTTCCTTTTTAGAGATCGGTGTAACATAGCTTTGTTTCGTTTGCTTTGCCACAGTAATCGCCCCGAAATGTGTGAACAGAAGCCCTTTCCAGTGGGGGATCCAGACCCTGAGATAAGGGGTGGGGGGGGGGGGGGGGGGGTCTCAAAAACTTTTTTTTCCTGCCTTTCGGGCCTCAGTTTGGTCTATGGATCCGCCACTGCTATCCAGTATGGTGTTTGCGCCGACGAAAAAGCCATCCGGTATGGTGTTAACATAACCTAAGCTAAATCTCCCTATAACACCCCTCTGTAACAGACCCAGTGGGATCTATATCTTTACCGGGTTCTCGGAGAAAACGTTACTGGTTGCCTACCTAGTGACGTTATTTCCCGCTGGTTTTTTTTTTAGTTGTGTAACTCGTCCTATAAAAGCTTAAAGGAGTGGCAGGCCTAACGTATTTACCGGTATAAAACCTTTTAAATTATTGCTATAGCAAAGAAGAACTAAAAGATTTACTTGACTTTTTTACGCGAGATCGATTACCTGTATCCGCCGATTTTTTCTTCCAATGATAATAAAGTTTTATATTTCTTGCTTCGTTTAAACAAATATGAATAACTAAATGCACTCTGGTTTTGTAAAAATCACCATAGAAAGTTACGGGGAAGCAAAACGTTAGCCGGGTAGAAACAAACTATTTCCGGGTATCAGGGAAGCTAAATTATCACTGCTGGGTAGACTGAATTAATTAACCACTGGTTAGGGTTTCACTGGGTCTGTTACAGCCGGATGATTGTGAATGGATCACTTCTTTTCTTACACAACGACTTGGTTGAAACATGGTACATAATGCTCTTGGAATGGAACAGATTATCACTGGTAAAGATGTATATACATTTATTTTTATGAAAGAATCATCGGTGCCAGCAACTTTTCAGCAGGTAGCAATTAACTGACTCAGCAGGTTAAAAGTATCTTCCTTCACTGAACATTAGGTCAAACAAAAAACAAATGATCACTTATTTATAATTCTTGTTTGAATTGAATCGGTTTCCTGGAACCTCAATAATTGTTAAACGACCACATGCGTCCTTTACAGACGACATCGACTTTCCCTCAAATTGCACGATTTTTCATATTGATGTCTGTAGTCTCTGGAGAGACAGGTGATCATTTTGTTAAGTGTTGATAGTGTTAGACATTTAGATATAATTATTCCTTACGCAGAGCGAAATATTTCCTATACAGTCCTTCCGTTTCTTTCACATATAAGAATCGGTTAAAAAAGGACGTTTTAGCCGTTTATCAACTCAGTAGTTTTCTTGGTTCCCAGGACTACGTATTTAATTGTTTTTTCTTATGCTTTTGGTTACAACAGGAATAATGTAATCTAATATATAACTACATGCGACACTTCCCTCAACCTTAAGGCTACTTACGTTCACACTATATCGGCGGATACTGAGCTTTTCGTGCCGCCACGGAAAGCTATCCGCCAGTTTAGTGTGAACAATAAAACCCTGGTACCGGTACCGTTCACACTCATGTGCAGACATCGTGCTAGATCGGTTGGGCAAGAGGGTTTGGTGCACTAATGCCCTGTCAAAACTAATCAATTTCAAAGGTATGCGTTGCTGTCATCGCAAACGTATCGATCGATTCGAGACCGCGCCACCGTTTAATGCGTTTTCAACTGTCCACACCAGAACGTTCGGACGGATAGAATTGCACGTTGTGACCTAAGTTGAACGCTATGCATGCGCATGCTGTAAGACACGAGCTTGTGATATTTTTGATCATCGTTTCAGTGCTATTAGTTTTATCTGTTTAATTTGATGCGTTTCGATCGTTTTTGACCGTCCACACCAATGTTATAAGTATTGCATTTTCGATTTGATCAACTTTTAAGAGCATTTTCCCTGAAATTGTTAACGTTACTTGCAAACAGTGGAAAAATAAAGTTGAAGTTGGAGTCAGTACGGTTAGAATTGAATTCGGTACGTGTTGACGCATTTTCGATTTTTCGATGAAAACGCTCAGTCTAGTAGTGAGGATCGGGAAAGGCCCAAACGGATCGAAGTCAGTGTACGCGTTTTTATACCAAAACGAACTAGTTTTGACGGGGCATAATTCTCAATCCTTATCCTCTTACATGGTGTTTTGTCAAAAATGTTTAGCTAATTTTCAATCTACTGAACGTTGGATCAGCTGTTTGCAGTAGATTAGTCTTTATAGCTCGTCCCGTGGTTTTGTCTGGCGAGCGGCCCGGAACGAGCAAACTCGTTGTCTTTTCTCGTTGTTTCCCCCCATTCCACACGCGATTTCCCCACACAACAAAACTATCAGCTACGCAGGCTAACAATGGCTATGAATTAGATGTATATCGTTTGTCTGTTACCTTCTGTTATGTTTTCCTTTAATTGTTCCAAGGCTTCGTTGGCTTGGGATGTTGGCGTTTACCCGAAAACGATACAGTAATAGCAACAAGCTTGGAGGGATCTCATAATGGATTGGAAGGACTTTACTGGGATAGGTCTGTATTGTAACTGATTTTTTTTCTTCTAATTTTTTACTACATGGACACACGGAAACCCATCATGTCAATAGGATGAGAATTTGGGATTGTTTACCAATTTACATAATGAAAGTCATAGCTTTGGAAAGTAAATACGTGCAAAATTTCAGGGCTGCTCGGCTATTTATCTGTGAATGCAATCATTTGGAAGTTATCTGTGCAAATCAGAGGTTCATAACCCGGAGCGAGCATCTTCTATGCGCTCTTGCACGGATAAGAAAGATTTTGGTGCGAAGTTTGAATATCGAATGCGCTCATCAGACATGGTGAAGTTTCTATTCGCCGGTAAAAGTTCCCTAAAATGTGTCTAAAAATAAACTCTGGTCCGTAAAAACGGCGTAGGGCTTGTATAGTATGGGAGTTGCTCCGGCGCTCCGACCTTGATTTTCAAATCTCTGATTTTACTTACCTTGTCACCGAACCATAAATTGGTGACCGATTCCCTCAAATTTTCCATGTAAACTGCAGAAGACGGAAATCGGAGTTTCATTTTTTGAAACCCTCGCGGTTCCATCTGGATTTTCTTACAACCCATTTTTTGCCAACTGGCCCCCGCCCTAATACCACTTTCAAGTTTCTAGGGACTAAAAAAGAACTGTTTGCTCTTTTTTGTCGTAAACATGAATAGAATTGAGTTGTATCATGAGCCTTAGTACCACTAAATTTTCCACTTTTTATTAAAAGAAATAAAGCATGGCACAGTTTTCATTCTACTGGTCCTAGTACCGCGTTACAACCAGGCGGTGATTTCATTCTATTTGTTTGTCGGTTTGTTTGTCTGTTGTTGTTGTTCAGTTTTATAAAAACCGTGAAAACTTAGATTCTGAGTACCAGATTGCCCGACTGCGCGCGGACTTATGGAAAATCTTGTTCCCAGTCTCCTCAGTTTGCCACGGCTTGGAATGCCTGGGATATTTTTCCGCAAGATGTCTGGTAGGCTTCATCGTCAAAGATTGAGTTTTGTCTTGTTTACAACGAAGTCATGGCTTTTAGTACTCTTTTATCCGAAATAATGCAACTATTAGAAAGTAATTTTGGATAAACGACCCAACTTCGTGATGAAAATGCTTTTTATTTTGCACATTTAACGGTCAATGTGATTGCATGAAGCCGACTGTCCATGAAGCCCGTGATTGAAAGCAATTAGGTAGGTAGCGTTACTTCACATAGTCCTAAAAAAATGAAACTAGAATTGAAAAGGGCTTGCACTATTTGGTTGAAAACCCTTAGTATGGTGCCGTGAGCTTAGACTGCACGGAATTCTCTAAACCGAACTGATCGATATTCAACGGTCGAATCCTGTCACACATTGATCCTAAGTACAAGTAATTGAGCTTATAATCTTGTTCCCCTCCTCGACATACCCTCGTAGAAGAGTTTGGCTTGAAAGTTGAGGTTGTGGAAAGTTTTCTTACTAACTCTACTGCTGTTTTGCAGAGCTAATTCCGTCACACAATGTGCTGCAGTGGCTAAAGACAAAGGATATAAGTATTTTGCAATCCGGAATGGTGGTGAATGCCTTTCAGGTAGAAACCTTTATTCTAGGCATAAGGAACGTGGAGAATCAGACGAATGCTTTGATGGTGAAGGAGGTCATGATGCCATGAATGTGTACAACATAACAGGTAATATCTAAGGGATTAATGGTATTATTATTCATTCAAACTGACATTTGTTCATTTCTGATTGGCTCAAATCCCTGAGCTAATTCTTCATAACCAGCTGGGGCAGACCATATTTGGAATTAGAAGATTTAGGCAATAACCTACTGATACAATGGATATTTAATAAAACCTCAGCATCAGCTACAGTGGAACCTTGATACAACAAATCTCTATATAACAGGGCTTCTGACAGGTCGTGGAAGAAAAAGTCAAATTTCGCAGGATTTTTAGGGAAAAATTCGCAGAAAAATTGGCCGATGTCATGGGAGTTTTCGGAGCAAACATCACCAAAAAGCAATGGCTAAAAAACGGCCAATTTTGTGGTTATTTTCAAGGCAAATTTCGCTAGAAATTGGTGGGTTTGGTGCTGATCAGACCAGCGTTTTTAACGTTTTTCCAACAGAGGTCATCATTTGCTCTTTTAACAACAATATGCTCCAGAAATGAACCAATGGCAAGGCCTTTAACATCACGGCTAGTGGTAGTTTCGGGATGTTGTTTGTACCTTTCAGTCACGAAGTCCCAAGATAAACTTGCATGCAGGATTTTGCGGATTTACCTGAATTTCACGGCTCCGCGACCGTCCAAAATATCAGAAGCCCTGATATAATGAAATCCTCAGTTTAACTAACGATTCTCTCTGCCCCAGTAATAGTGAAATATATGGAAGAGAACCTTGATACAACAAACACCTGTGATAACAAACAAAATTTTTTTCAGTCCATTGGCCCTTTGTTATATTGAGGTTCTGTGTTTCCAGTGGGTAGGTGATATAAACACAAATTCTAATTTATTTAACACCCCTTATATGTGCTTTTAATAGGGAATATCCCAGAGCTAGAAGATTTTGAAGGTGACATCCTCCTTACAAAGGTTCAGAAAGCTATGATAAGACCTTTGCATCAAGATGTGGCTGCCGCGGGAGTTTGGTCCAAAACTCAGTTTATGTGGCCTGAGAGAACTGTTCCTTATTATATCCCACCTGATCTTGGTAAGATTACTCTTTCAGTTATATTGTTTTAAGCCATCAGCTACGCAGGCTAGAATTGGTGTTTGATATATTTTACAGGGAATGGTGTTGTTAGGAATAAATACCAACCCCCAACCAGTTTTCCTCGCCTACTGCCTTTCAACTTTTTGTTCGCAATTTAATGAGCACTCACCTGTCGCGGGTATATGAAATCAATTACCCCTGCACGTGGACTCTAGTCCCTACGTGCCCATGCCACTTGTAATTTATTTTATTTTTGTACGAATGTTTGAGTGTTCATTTTATTTTGTTTTAACCTAGGTCTTAATCTAGGGGCGGTGCCTCGCATTGGACGTTAGTCCTGTTGCACCTACCCCTTTTGGGTGTTTCCTTCTTTTTTTCTTTTCTTTTGTGTTGTATTATAAATTTATGTTATATATTACAAGAGGAGTACCCAATAAAGCTGTGGAAAAAAAAATTATTCATTATATGTTAGATAGAAACAACTCGGTATGCTTTGCAGTGTATGTGGCCGTGTTGACAAACTCACAAGTTCTTCGCATGCATGCTGAGATAAACTTGTATGCACAAGTTGATGTTAAGGCCATATAATGCAGTACTGTACTATTGTAACCCTGTGTATAGCCTTTAATGACATCAGGGTAAAGCCACTCTTACAAATTAAATCAAGTTTTAAAATGTGGCCAAGAAATTTAATAGCAAAATAACAAAATGTCAGCCAAGTTTTTTTACTTGGGTTTTGTTGTAGCTGTCCATTTTGTTACCAGAAAAGCTCACTCTCTGTAGAAACGTAACATGTAAGGGCTTTGTCTGATTATGGTCATGGCTCACTTAACTTGATTAGTGATATGTTAATATATAACTATGTTGTGCTTCCATTTTGTTATTGGATAAATTTCCTTTTTTCGTTTCAACTTCGTCTTTGTATAATAATTATTATTGCCTTGCCAAAGAACAAAGAAGAATAAATTGAAATTTGTTAAGAACTATAAAATGCAGAGTGATTGCTGTATTGTATTTTATTTTTACTCCATCCTATAGGTAATACATTAGTTCAGTGTACAATATTAATTAGCACAAGGTTGTTTAAGCTGCGTGTACATACGTGGAAAAAAATAGAATAGAGAAGGGCACATTATAGTAAAACTAATTATGGCCCTTTAACAAGATTAACTTTATGCTGGTATAGCTTTGTTATTCATTAAAACACACCAAAGTAGCCAGCTTCGAAAGACGCAGCTATCATCATTGCTGACCGCTGATTGCTGATTGCTCTTGTGGGCTTGCTCTTAGACTCCAAAGACTGGGATTTCTTTATTTTCAATATCCTTTCTAATTCTTAAGCAAATCTTCTGGTTGTACAGAAAAAAGTAAAGTGTATCATTAATTTTTGCAAGTAGTTTCCTTCATAGACAATAGGGCCATTTATACAAGGAAAAATCCCAGTCTTACATAAGACGCATCTTAAGACGCATCTTAAATAAGACGCGAACTTTCCGTATAAACGGCACATTTCGTCTAAAATAAGACGTTAAGACGCGTCTTATTAGAAAAGACATGCTCGTATAAATGGTACAGTTCGCGTCTTATTTAAGATGCGTCTTATGTAAGACGCGTCTTATTTTTCCTCATACAAATGGCCCTAATGTCTCACGAGCGGAGGTCATAGATTTCATAGTAACAGCAACAGCACCTTACCGTATTTATTCAAATAACATCACCCTCAAATAAATGCCACCCTTGATCAAATGCCGCAGATGAAAGCAAAATTACCAATAAATGCCACCCTCTAGTAAATGCCGCACCTAATCAGTAGAATGTGGTGTTTACTCAAGCATAATAAGAAAAACGTTGGTACAACTTGGTAATTTACACCATCCAGACATTTACGTTTCTACATGTATCTCATCAAAATACGAATGTCAATGGAACCTTAAAATTACTTAATCTTTACAAACCATTTACAATAACTGTTGTCAGTGATTAAAAAAAAAATATTTTGAAATAAACATCGCCCTTAAATAAATGCGTCATTTGAAGTGCTAAAAATGTAATAAAGAGTGCAGCGTTTAATCAAATAAATACAGTATTTCTTCCTTTAAAACAATATCAGAGACATTGAGTGCTTCTATCGAGCATTCATTGAGTCAGGTTGTCTAAACTAAATACAAAAATTAATGTTTACTTGAGTGATGGAAAGTTGATTTACTCAACCTGGTTAACTCACTGCTGACCAGAACCAGCATCCCTCTTTAATAGTTGTCATGTGTTTCATTTTTCAGTTGGCCATCAGTTAGCTGACAAGTTTAATCATGGGATGAGACACTGGCGCGAACAAACATGCATTCAGTTTGTCCCCAAGTCTGGTCACAGAGATTGGATTGAGTTATATAGAGAAAAGAACCCTGACAGCCGTAGGTAACGTGGTTATGCCAATGGTTATATATGGTAAATTCAAATACCCTGCTAGTGAAAGTTCTTTTCTGGCTTAGTTTTTCATTGGCCTTTGAAGAGTCTATGCATGCTTAAAAGTACATGTAATGTCATAAGGCCTACACTTGTAGTTAAGGATTGTGATTTGGGCAAGCTGTAGCTGTAGAACATACTAGCCCAAAATTTATTTTAACTAGCCCTTCTCTTTACATTTTTTTATGAGCATGGGTGATTACAGTTCTTCTTGTAATTTGAATTCCCCCAAAAACTTTACTTGGCCTTTGAGCAAGTTACAAAGAGAATTTACTATCGTTATAGCAGAATTTACTAGCCTCGAACTGCTGGACACTATTTTCTTTGCATGCTGAGGGCAGCGGGCTGGGGATTTTTCCAGCTAGGAAACAAAATAAAAAATAGAACCAAAAGAAATTCCTATCTGCATGTTCAATACCCCACCTGCTTATTGCATATACCAAGAGAGGATAAAGTCTTAGTGACAGCCCTGTATGTTGGAAAGAAACCTCAGTTAGTAGGGTTAGAGAAATGGGCTAATTGCTTCTGGGGATCAGTTAAACCTTATAAATAAGCCAGCATCAAAGATGTAGCAGGCCATTTTGTAAGCTTGTAGCCAAACAATGAATGAAAAATCATTATAAAATATAGATTTAAAACTCCATCATTTTTTCACCTTTCTCCAGTTTGTGTATTTAATACACAAACAAACATGTAATTATGTAAATTGTTTTGTAATACAAACCCAGGCAAAAATAGTGCATTTGAGGGAGACCAAGGCTAGCCACTGGTTCCGTCTTCACGCTGATCATGAGCTTTAGTTAGTGATGAGCCTAACAATGTGTCTGTTTTAGGTGCGCCTCTTCAATTGGTCGCATTGGTGGTTACCAGCCAATCAAATTAGGAGACCACTGTCCGGCAGGCAGCCTTATTCATGAAATGGGACATGCCCTGGGATTATGGCATACGCAGTCTCGGCCAGACAGGGACGGTTATGTTAAAATAATATGGGCAAATATCCTACCAGGTAAATGCATTGTAACTTTCGTCTGATCAAGTAATTGTCTTGGGCAAATAGAGAAGAGAAATGATGGCATGACAAAAACTAAATTTTTGAAATTATGGGATTGATTGGTTTTTCTTGTTCTTTCTGGATATGCTAACCTATCCCATAATTTAACAAATTTGAATTTTTGTGACGTCACATCAGCTTCTCTATAGGAACTTTGCAGTTACCTCTGTCTGTGGCCTACCTCCCTGATATAGGGGCACCTAGATGTGGTGCCTACAATTCCTCTAACTTTTTATTTGGCCCACTTTAAGGTAGAAATCTCTCTAAGATGGGAAATTTAATTCCGGTTCTATAGAGTTTGCTGTATTCTCGTTTTTCTTTTGGTAGAAGACGCAAGGGGATCATTTGCTGTAACTGTTTCATTTCAGACGGCTTTAAACTCGCTCTAGCAAGTTTATAACTTCAACTGCAACTTTGTTTGAATTCACAAATAACTTACAATGAATACTTAAGACTGGCCTGCAACTAGACTGCTAGCAGTGTCTCTTTCTCTTCAGATTTAGGCCCGGTTCAGACGCCGTACTTGTCATGAGTACAGAATGAATTAAGTACATGAAAAGTTCGGCCTCTGAATCAATTAGGAAAGCCTGTTTCAGTTTGGAACCGCTCAGCTGTTCTTTCCGCCTAGCCCGGCCGGGAATTTCGCCTTTGGATCGACTCTGGAACGCTTTTGATTCAGACGCCGCACTTTTCATGTACCGAACCTAGTGCATGAATTCTTGTAACGTGTTTCAGTTTGTAAGCAGTTTGACCGAAATGAGCATTTTTCTCCTTCTGAATTTAGTTCGGCTGGAATTAAGATCGGCGTCTGAATCGATTCAGCCGGTCTAAATAATTTGGGTCGGCCTTAATTCGAATATAGGTTCGGCTTACGAAAAGTACAGCGTCTGAACCGGGACTTAGTGAGAGGAGTGCACGCACGAGCGAGCGTCGAGCGATGAAGCCGCAAGACACGAGAAACAAGGGCAGCAGCCCGAGAAGTCACGCGTGTAGTCATTTTCGTCTCTCGCCTATTTCTCCCGAGGAGCTAACTCTATGGAAAGAGAGAGACTACTCGTAGTCTAGTTTATAACTCATGAACCCTTAAAGCGCCCTGTAAATCTTAACAAAAACAACATGCCATGCCATTGTCATTTCAAAATAAGTGATCTGTTTTTTTTTTTTCTCTCTCTGTTCATGCTAGGTAAATCAGAACAGTTTTTGAAATATGAACACGGCATTGTTGACACGCAAAAAATACCGTACGACTATATGAGCATTATGCATTATGGAAAAGACTACTTCGCAAAGTTGGATGCAAGCAAAAGGCATTATCTTACCACTATCGAGACTAAAGATACGAAATATCAAAACTCTATTGGCCAGAGGAAGTACCTGACGCCGAGTGATGTCCTTACGATAAATACCGCGTATGGATGTCCCGGTAAATATTAATATTAACATTGATTTTTACTTTTTCTGAGGATAATTGCGTCACAAAGATTGAGTGCTTTTTGCAAAAGAGGTAATGTGTTGTTTTTAAATCTGTAGTTCAAATTACCTCACAACAATACAAGAATAGGGAGGGGTTTTAGAACAAAATGAATTAGGATACTGTTCACTGTCGCTCATAAGGCCTTAGCTTATACATCTTCGCCAGGGGTTTCAAGGCTGGTTTTCACTAGCGACGGAGTCGGAGTTGGGGTCGTAATCAGAAGAGTAAGACTTTACGACCTAGTGAAAACAGCGTTCTGATTCCGCTTACCACTCCGTCGGCTGTCGCTTAAGATCAAGTGAAAACTAGGTTGTCGGAGTCGCAAGCAGAAGCGTATGAACCAAACCAATCACAAAAGCGTTGGAACGTGTATTGTGATTGGTTTATCCTTCCGCCACTGCTTTCGACTCCGACAATCTGGTTTTCACTAGATCTTAAGCGGAGTCAAAAGAAAATGGAAACGTTCTGATTCTTTTGACTCCGACTCCGGCGCTAGAGAAACCCATCCTTTAGGAGCGCTTGTAAACGGAGGGGCTTGTATTCGAGGTGGCTTGATATCAAAAAAGAAAGAGCGCTTAAAAACGTCGTAAAAACGACGGGCACATGGATCCAATCCTTCCGCCCTTACAGCCAAACTGGACAAATTTGCTTACACACGTGTTTATTTATATAAAGAAAGCCACTCCCGAGGGAGAAACGCACACACACTCCTGAAATAGATCTCTCCCTACTAATTCGTTAGAATTAAGGCCAGTGTTACGCGAGCGAGCACTGGGAATAGGGCTAGAAGACAAAGGGAATGGAGAATCAACCTAGGTTAAAAAGAAATTGACCCGAAATCAAATTTCACCACCAAGCCTCGTTACGAAGTTAAAAAATTAGCGAAGTTTCAAAGAAATGAATTCCCGAGGCAGTAAATTGAGGCAGTAGAGTTGAAAAACAAAAAATGCAAATGGAAAAAGTTTTGATCACAAGCGAGGCTTGGTGGTGAAATTTACTCGTCTGACGTAATCATAAATAAGGGCTATCGTTGAACTCACGCAATACAGCGTTTTCACTTGATTAGCAGCTATTTAAACTTATTGAACAAAAGAATGGATTTTCTCAGCGGACTGGTTTGGAACATTAAGATCGCCGCCGTTTTATTGTTTTGGAACACTAAATGTTGCAGATGTGACGTCATTTAAAAACGCTCCATAGTTAACTATCGGTGAGCGTTTTATTTTTTTTTCCAGTTAATCAGATATAATAGAGAATTAGTTACATTTTGTGATGTTGCTGTTGTTGTTGTTGCTCTTGTTATTAGAGAGCTTTACAGGGTTGCCACTCATCAGAAAGTTAAAAATTCCCTAACTTTTCCCTGACTTTTCACTGACCTTTTATTAATGAGAAACAATCCATTTTTACATTTGCTTTAGCATTTTTAGCAGGCCATCGATAGTTTTCTCTTCATTTTCATCCTCTTTCAGCTTTTTGCGGAAAGAGGAAGAAGGAATTTGGAGGAAAGCATTCACAACGAAAACCACTGACCACAAGTAATGCATGTGTCAGGCGCAGAGTGTTTAATTGATCGCCTTGCAGCATACTTTTCATCTTTCCCGAAAGAAAGCGCATTTCAAAATCGTGAAGAAAACTTACGAACTAAAAACCGGAAAACAGAATTCCCTGACTTTTCACTGACTTTGACAATATTAAAGATTTCCCTGACCTTGAAAAATTTTCGTTTTTCCCTGACTTTTCCCTGACCGTGGCAACGCTGGCTTTGGATTCGAGGACGAGAACGACTACGAGTACGAGATTTGACTGAAAGTTTTATCGCGTGTTCTCCAAAAATAGACACCCTGGAAAGCTTCGTTGTACTTATGATTCACCAGAAAAGTTAGCACTGTTATCTTTATTAAAGGAGGTTAAGCCCTCTTCCGATTGCAAAATGATAAAACGTGTAACATTTGATAACTCCTTTCCGCCACTAGGACATTCACGCTAAAACTCATAGTAAAATGACGACGATTTTCCCGCCAAAATGACGCTGGTTTACGGGCGAGCAATACTCAGTATCGAGGAAATCTCGTACTCGTAATCATACTCGTCCTCGAATCCAGTGCTCTCTATTGTTATTCTGAAGAAAGTATTACTTTAGGCATAGTTAGTAGAGGAGGCTGGTTAGGAAACCCGGCAAACATCAAAGTTGAAAGCAATGGTGTTCTAGGTTATGTTGGAAGCTCCTTGACCGTGCACAATTCCTTGTTTTCTGTTCACAAATTATGACTGAATAAATTACATGTAATACAATGTTTCTTTTTGGTCGATGACTTCAAAATGATAGGAATGCTATTGACCACTCCAGAAAATACCATAGTGTACCATTATACTCTTTGTTTGTCACCCCAAAATTTTGCATAAGCATTGTCTTCAGTTTCTCTTGGGAGATTAAAAAAAGGCCCCAAAAGAGAGTGAAAACAATGCTTATGCAAAATTTTGGGGTGACAAACAAAGAGTGTTATGGTATGTTATGGTATTTTCTGGAGTGGTCAGTTGAAGGCTGTGCACGGTCAGGTCCAAAAAAGCTAACAAAAACCTATAACAAAGGGTTTCCCAGCCATTCCACTTTAATTAACTATGCTGTAGGTTATCTGTTTTTCTTTCCATCTTTATTTTTTTTTCAATCTTTCTCTTAAGATTACCCATACATGTGGCACACTGGGAGTTGGAGTGATTGCTCAGAATCATGTGGTAAAGGTAAACAGACAAGGAAAGTCTTTTGTGCCAAAGGCGGTGGAAAGCAAGCCGATCCCAAGTTTTGCTGCAAGACGAAACTCCCGGAAAATTCTCAAAAATGCTATGGAAGGCTATGTGGTAAAGTAAAGTTAATTCTTTCGTTACGTATTGAATGTCTGGTCATAACTCTATACATTACGAACATAAAGTAACTGTTAAGGGATTTTCAAATAATTTCATATATTTTCTGTAATTCTTCTTTCAAGGTATCTTCGTGTAAAAACAGAGGAGAAACGTTTGGATGGTCATCTGTCAAGGGTTATGATTAATTGCAGATTTACTTTAATAGTTTGCCAATACAAAATACACACTTAATATTGACCGGAAAGCCCTAAACAGGAAACAACTTCCCTCACTGAAGGGCTACCTAAATTCACAATAAATAAAAAAAACAACTAAAAGAAAAAATCATAAATACCTAGACAAGTGGCAATCATGTACAATATTAAACTAGAATATAATTAAACCATAGTTATTAGAGGAGACTGGTTATGAAAAGCGGCAAACATCAATGATAAAAACAACAGTGCTGCAGTTTATGTTGGAAGCACCCTGAAAGTGCACAATCCTTTGTTTTCTGTTGGCAAATTGTTACGGAATAAATTAATGCAACGTTATTATTGGTCAACATAATCAAAATGATAGGAATTCTTTTGAACGTTGTGCACTTTCAGGTCCACAAAAACATATAACAAAGGAGTCTGACGGGTTTCATAACCATTCCACTCAATTAACTATGATTAAACTAGTAAGAAAAATAAATTGAGAGAATGTAGAAATATCCTTCATGTGTAGAAAGGATTTCAGGCAATCCTTAAAATCGTCTAAAGATTCAGTTTTTCTTAAACGTAGAGGCACAGAGTTCCATGACTTTACTATTCTAAAGAAGTAAGAAAATTTTAAAACATTAGTTCTTGCATATCTAAGTTTAAACTGGTAATTAGTATGTCTGAGGTTATATTTACATGTGGAACTGTCAGCAGACACAAGATAATAAGACAGATCCAAATCATATAGGCCCATCATGCATTTAAAAAGGAAAATTAAGTCCATAAAGAGCCTCCTTGAGGCCAAGGAAAGAAGATTCAGTTCCTGAAGTCTCTCTCGATAAGGCTTGTCCTTTATGATCAGTTTAGTGGCTCTTCGCTGAACTCTTTCAATTAAGTCAATCAAAAACGGCTGATGTGGCGACCAGACCTGGGAGGCAAATTCAACGTGTGGTCTGACTAAATGATTGTATAGTTTGAGCAGTACATGGGGTTGGGTACAAGTACCACAAGTTCTCTTGATCAAGCGTAGGACTTTATTAGCGGTGTTTACTTTGGCCATGATATGGTTATTCCAGGATAGATTGTGACTTATCAACACTCCTAAGTCTTTTTCTTCTGATGACAATGGGATACGTTAGGTTCCAAGGCTGTAAGAGGTTTCCAATCTCTTCCTTTTGTTCGTGATGTAGAGATGTTTACATTTCTTAGTGTTATCGTGAAAAAACAGTACTGAAAGCGGCAATTGTTTAAAACTCAAGAAAGAAACATGCTCATGCAGTTACTAAGCTACATGAATTGCCAGCATAATCCCTAACCCCTTTGAATGATGTCACACTGGTCCCCATGCAGCAGCGTGATAGCCCTTATAAATAACACTTTTATGTTCTTGCGGAGGTCATCATCAGTATTATTGAGCTCAATCACTTTGACCTCTTGCAAATTGCCCCCCTCCCCCTAGCTCCTTTTTCGGCTCTTATGTCAAGTCGCCTGTGGATATATCCGAGTGTGAGTTCAGTCTGTTCTATTTTTTGCCCGTTATTTATGGCTACTTCTAAGCTGACAGACCAATAAAGATATGTTTCATACTTTCTTTAGAAAAGTGTCCATACGGTTGGCTTGCTTTCAGCAACGCTTGCTATCAAGTGAATAAAGAAGCAAAAGACTTAAAAGCTGCAACCGAGTCTTGTCTCGATAAAGGAGGTGGAATCCTCACGCTATGGAACGCAGAGGAAGAAAATCTTTTGCGAGCAGAGTTATTCAAGATGCAATTGCACAATGTGTTTTATTGGCTAGGTGAGGCTATTTTTCTCTGAATCTAGGGTAGACTAATCTAGGGTTGCTTGCCATGAACACAAATCACTTGGGTGGAAGTCTTGTGCATAAACATAAAACTATATAATTTCTTTAAAAATATTGTAAAATAAGCCGCAGAGAAAAAACGAAAAACGGAAGAAGCATGCAAAAGAAGTGCTTTTGGCATTCATGCAGAACTTGTTCTTTGTATTTTCAATGTATAATGATTATCCTTAGGCATTTCCTTTGACTGAAGTATTTCTACGTGCATCAATTAATGACGTGACTGTTCTTTTATTGCTACAAGCAAATGAAGGCTAAGGGGAGCGTACACACAAAAGGGTTGTTACGATTTCCATTGCGTGTTGTCAATAAGATTTAGTTACATGAGTTTGCATCATGATTTTGAAACCTCACTTAACACGTACGTTAAAAAGTGGCTACCTGCAACAAGATCCACGCTTTAGAATGGTTTACTGCACGATGACAGCCTCATTATAACCTAGAGGCTTTCTTAATCACTTACAGTAAAAACCCACGAGTAAGAAGCTAAGATTTAAGAACCTGTCAGGCTAAAATGTGCAATTTAGACCCCCTCCATATAATAACCTCTTTAGCCTAAAATTTGTAGAAAGGTTCTTATATAAATGTTGTTTGATTGAGGTCATTGAGAAAATGTTTATAATATTGTGTTTTACAGCACAGTCATGTATATAAAGTTGTCTTGACTCAAGAAATTAAAATTCATGTAAGAATAGATCTCTATTATGGTCATATTAAAATATAAGCAATCATTAGGTATGCAAATTTAAGGGTGCTAATCACTAAAATCTTCTTAGCAACAACATAATTTTTTGCAAGAAATTAAGAACCTATTAAGAACCTAGATAGGCTAAATTTATGTTAACCACCATTTATGTAAGAACCTGTTTAGGCTAACCATGGAAAATGTAGGTTCTTACTCGTGGGTTTTTACTGTATATAAATAAGGTAAACTGTTTTTTTTTTTAATCAGGAGCGAAGTACAGCCCGAGTAAAGGCAGTTTTTTGTGGCCTGATGGTAAAGCAGTTGTCTACAATTCGTGGAATCCTGGAGAACCTCGATTTGGATTAGATTGCTCGTTAATGATCAACAGGAAAGGCTGGGGAACAGAAAGGTGTGACATGGAACGAAATTACATTTGCAAAAAAGGTGCGTCAATTACAAGATAATATCGCCTTATTTGAGTATTATAATATGTGGATTTTAATTTCTAGACAGTTTACTGCTTTAAGTTTGTAGTAGACAAATCTTCTATTTTTGCCATACAGAACTAAAAAGCTACAAAAGGAATGAGGTCGAGGCAAACACTAAAAGTCACGACTACAAGTGGCATACAAAGGATTGGAACGAGTGCACAAAGTCTTGTGGTGGGGGCCAGAGGAATAGAGAAACATTCTGCGCTGATGAAAAGAAGAATAAAGTAGACGAGTCTCTCTGTAAAGGTATCGGTAAATGATTTTACTGACCTTCGTAGGTTCATCATAATTGAAAAATGGAAAAGTTAATAAGGTACTTCAGTTTTTGGCCGTCGTCAACACACAAAGAACCGTAAACTCAATCCCAGTTTTTTGTCCAGACAGCTCCAAAACTATGCCGACTAGTATAAATTGTAATTGGCATTACCTTTGCTTCGGAGGATAATTTAGCCCATAAACTTTCTCCCCAAAACTGGTATTAATAAGCGCTCAAAATCGCTCAATGTCGATAACAACTCAAACTAAGGATTTCCCACTCTTGCGAGTTCTGTACGTGCAACAATAAGTATCGGGAATATTTATGTGATCTTTCGGGTGAGTGTAGTCCCCAATAGNCAACAGGAAAGGCTGGGGAACAGAAAGGTGTGACATGGAACGAAATTACATTTGCAAAAAAGGTGCGTCAATTACAAGATAATATCGCCTTATTTGAGTATTATAATATGTGGATTTTAATTTCTAGACAGTTTACTGCTTTAAGTTTGTAGTAGACAAATCTTCTATTTTTGCCATACAGAACTAAAAAGCTACAAAAGGAATGAGGTCGAGGCAAACACTAAAAGTCACGACTACAAGTGGCATACAAAGGATTGGAACGAGTGCACAAAGTCTTGTGGTGGGGGCCAGAGGAATAGAGAAACATTCTGCGCTGATGAAAAGAAGAATAAAGTAGACGAGTCTCTCTGTAAAGGTATCGGTAAATGATTTTACTGACCTTCGTAGGTTCATCATAATTGAAAAATGGAAAAGTTAATAAGGTACTTCAGTTTTTGGCCGTCGTCAACACACAAAGAACCGTAAACTCAATCCCAGTTTTTTGTCCAGACAGCTCCAAAACTATGCCGACTAGTATAAATTGTAATTGGCATTACCTTTGCTTCGGAGGATAATTTAGCCCATAAACTTTCTCCCCAAAACTGGTATTAATAAGCGCTCAAAATCGCTCAATGTCGATAACAACTCAAACTAAGGATTTCCCACTCTTGCGAGTTCTGTACGTGCAACAATAAGTATCGGGAATATTTATGTGATCTTTCGGGTGAGTGTAGTCCCCAATAGGACTGTCGTTGACAGTATCAAGAACAGTCTTAGTCAGGACTACATGCACCCGGGCGATCATATTCCAGTTGCTTGTTATAATTATCCAAAGTGTAAAAACGAATACAACAGAAACAAAAACAACATCTTACATGCATTACTCCAAAAAAAATTAACTGGCTTGGTACCACTTATTCCGTCATATCCTAGCAAAAAAACTTTGCTACAAAGGAGAAAGTATGTACCCTTTAATCACCTATACCTTGTTGTATTCTATAGATTCCCCACCCTTAGCCTGGCAAATCTGTAATGTGGAAGCATGTCCCTCTCAGTACAAGTGGCACGTGGGAGACTGGGGAAAGTGTAGTAAGACTTGTGGAGGAGGATTGAAACGAAGGACAAAAAAATGTGCTGGAAAAGATATGATTTTAACTTCATGGAAGTTGTGCAAGGGACATGCACCAGTTAATAAAATGAAGTAAGAATTGAATTATACATTTTGAAAAAAAAAGAATAAGCAAATAATTTTCTAGGCCTGTGTGTTAGGATTTGCTGTTGGATTAATTCTGCGACTGTTACGTACACGTTCTTGTAGTTAAAACCAATTGAAAAGTATTTGTTAGGTACTCATGCTGTTACATACAGATAGGAGGATCGAGGAAATTACCCATGAGGCCTGTATTGTCCCCATTAGCTGTAAATCTTAACATATCGAAACTTGAAGGAATCGAGGATATTACTGTTACTGATATTACTGTTTTAGCTCAATTGTGTGCTGAAGTCATTACTTAGTTCCTTTACCCATAGAAATGATCCGTTAGAGACATGAAGCAGATTTCAAACAAGTTTCAGCAGGGGGCACTGACCATATTGATAGCAGGGAATGCATTTAAACTTGGAAAAGTTGGCCCGACCTTTTAATTTTTAATCCATTTCCATCCTTGCCACCTGTTGCAACAGACGACAGAAAACAGTTTCAATACCTAAACATAGTCTTAAATGACAAGAGTGGACAATTATTTTTGGAATTCAATTGATGTGAAGACAAGTTTTAGCTTTTTTAAAAAGACAGTAAATGGCGTGACATAGCACCTTTAAATAAAGTCTTTTTCGTTTCATGCCTTAAGAACGTCAGTTGATTTGTTTCTGCTAGCCATACACTCAGTTCCTAAAAACAGCCTTCGTTCATATCTCTTAGGCCCATTTCAAACGTCAATCTTTTCATGTACCGAACCTAATATCCATTTAATAGAGTGTTGTTACTCACGTGGTCAGCGTCTATGCAACTTTATTGGAACAAAAGAAAGCGTTTGCATAAGAAAAGAGTTCAACTCTCACAGGATTGGTTTGGGACACCAACATGGTTGCCGTTTCATTGGTTTGGGACACCAAGATGGCCGCCGTGACGTCATGTGAAAACACTCTATAGGTCGGCCCAAATGTTATAAGTTCGACGGATGATTCAGACGTAGAGCTTATTTAGTCGGACTAAATTCAATGGTCTAAAATGCTTACAACTGAGAATAAATTTTAGTAATTTATGCATTAGGTTCGGCACATGAGAAGTTCAACGTTTGAAAAGAAGTCGCTCCACAGTCGAAATTCGAATGTGGGCCACTCGATCTTAATTCATGGGTAGACCGAAATTAGATATGTCGAACTTAATTGATTCAAACGTCGATCTTTTCATGTACTTAATTGAAGGGATTAGGTTCGGTTCATGAAAAGATCGATATTTGAACTGGGCCTTCAACTAACGTCAAGTTGAAAATACCAGTCGTATTTCACATCGATCAGTGGAACTATACTTGCTGATAACTAATACTTGTAATGAATAATAATTTCGTACGTAGGTGCAATACTGGACCTTGCCCAGTCAAAAAGCTGAGAGTTTCATCTTCTCCTGTTTGGAAGGTGAGTTTTCTGTACGCATGAATCTATCACGTTGTCTGGTTTACATACAAGCGCCTTTTTATTAAAATATCAGTGCTTTAAGTTCAGAAAGTAAGAACGGCGTTGTCTCGAGTAAAACCGGCTCTTTCTTTTAGTTTTCTGCGAATTGAATGTTAATTCTGGCCATACTTCAAAAGAGCTATAACAATTTTGAATCGCCATTATTTCTTTTTATTTCGGACCAATGTTGAATTAATGTAACAGGGAATGTATCAACGTTTTAGCAGTTAAAATGATCTATTTGACAATTATTTTGATCAAATTTTGGTTCGCTCCAGGTTAGCCCGTGGAGTAAATGTTCCAAAACATGTGGACATGGACATCAAATAAGGGGAGTTCATTGCATGCGAAGCAACAATAAGCCATTGAGCTCATCGTCGTGTGCTGGACAAACCAAACCTGTGGCTGTTCGAAGATGTTTTTTGAAAGACTGCACTCTACGAAGAGGTTTGAGTTGTTCAGCATCTTGATCAACATCATCATCGTCATCATCATCATCTTGAGCCATCGTCATCATGATTTTTATCCAGAATAATGATTATGGTTATTATTTTGCTAATGATAATGATGATAATAGATGAAATGATATGTGTGGAGCGAAGAACACAGAAAAAAATTATGAGTAATGATGATGATGACGATCATAAAGATGATGATGATGATGATGATGTGTTGATAATGATGATGATTGTCATTTACTTTCGCTCCCTTTTTTCCCACAAATGCGATTTTTTGCAATTACATCCCAACTGGTCCACACTGTACATGTTTTTTTACGCCTTAATAGAGACCTTTAGATTCGAGGACGAGAACGACTATGAGTAGGAGATTGAACTTAAATTTTTCTCGCGTATTCTCAAAAAATAGACACCTCGGAAAGCTTCATTGTACTTTTTTTCATTAGAAAAGATAGTACTGTTATCTATATTGAAGCAGATGAAGCCCTCTCTCGGTCGCAAAATAATAAAACCTCTGATATTTGATAACTCGTTTTCGCCATTACGACGTTCTCGCTAAAAATCGTAGTAGAATGACGACGGCTACCAAGTTTTCCAGCGAAAATGGCGCTGGTTCACGCGTGCGCACTACTGTCTTAGTAGTGAGGAAATCTTGTCCTCGTAGTCGTACTCGTTTTAGAATCTAAAGGTCTCTAATACAATTAAAGGGTCAGCGACTGCGAGAGTTAATTGGTACTGAAAAAGATAATCGTAACAGATATAAGAGATGGCCTTTCATCTGGCTCAAGTACTCGTGAAATATTAATGCTGTATGTTGTCAAATTGCTTTATGTTGTATGCATTCCGAGAATTTGTATCATCTCTAGAATAATAAACTGTCTTCTTTATTCTTTTGTTTTTCGATGAGATGGCAATGAGCATGAGCTGTTTTTTTCTAATCCCGTACCTTTAAGCTTACAAAATGTTGACCACTTTAATGTTTGGTATTTTTTTAGTTCATAGATGTTCTGATAATCACGTGATGTGTAAGATTTGGACTAGACAAGGAAGCTGCAGAACGTCCAAGTGGGTTCGTTCTAAGTGTCCACGTGGATGCAAGACTTGCTAAATAGAAAGTTAGTACATGTAACGGTTACTATAGTTCTTCTTAACACCAGTGCCATACTTGGCTTAGATCGATTGTAGTGGGCACATTGCTCTTCATGAATACTATCAGTTGCCATTGTTTTGTTCTTCACTGCATGGTGATATCGAGATTTAATAGATGCACTAATCATGCATGCGACGTTTTGCCACACTCAACATAGCATGAAAAATTAATGTTTGTGTATAAAAAGAGTTAGTGATTACAGGAAAACGGAATGTCATGGGTCAGTGGGGAGTTCATTGCATGCGAAGCAACAATAAGCCATTGAGCTCATCGTCGTGTGCTGGACAAACCAAACCTGTGGCTGTTCGAAGATGTTTTTTGAAAGACTGCACTCTACGAAGAGGTTTGAGTTGTTCATCATCTTGATCAACATCATCATCGTCATCATCATCATCTTGAGCCATCGTCATCATGATTTTTATCCAGAATAATGATTATGGTTATGATTTTGCTAATGATAATGATGATAATAGATGAAATGATATGTGTGGAGCGAAGAACACAGAAAAAAATTATGAGTAATGATGATGATGACGATCATAAAGATGATGATGATGATGATGATGATGATGATGATGATGATGTGTTGATAATGATGATGATTGTCATTTACTTTCGCTCCCTTTTTTCCCACAAATGCGATTTTTTGCAATTACATCCCAACTGGTCCACACTGTACATGTTCTTTTATGCCTTAATACAGACCTTTGGATTCGAGGACGAGAACGACTACGAGTACGAGATTGAACTTAAAGTTTTCTCGCGTATTTTCAAAAAAGAGACACCTCGGAACGCTTCATTGTACTTTTTTTCATTAGAAAAGATAGTACTGTTATCTATATTGAAGGAGATGAAGGCCTCTCTCGATCGCAAAATGATAAAACCTCTGATATTTGATAACTCGTTTCCGCCATTACGACATTCTCGCTAAAAATAGTAACAAGTAATAATAGTAATGGTAATAAGTAGTAATAGTAATAGTAATAATGACGACGGCTACCAAGTTTTCCCGCGAAAATGACGCTGATTCACGCGGGCGCACTACTGTCTTAGTAGGGAGGAAATCTCGTCCTCGTAGTCGTACTCGTTTTAGAATCTAAAGGTCTCTAATACAATTAAAGGGTCAGCGACTGCGAGAGTTAATTGGTACAGAAAAAGATAATCTGTACAGATATAAGAGATGGCCTTTCATCTGGCTCGAGTACTCGTGAAATATTGATACTGTATGTTGTCAAATTGCTTTATGTTGTATGCGGTCCGAATATTTGTATCATCTCTAGAATAATAAACTGTCTTTTTTATTCTTTTGTTATTCGATGAGATGGCAATGAGCGTGAGCTGTTTTTTTCTAATCCTGTACCTTGAAGCTTACAAATGTTGACCACTTTAATGTTTGGTATTTTTTTAGTTCATAGATGTTCTGATAATCACGTGATGTGTAAGATTTGGACTAGACAAGGAAGCTGCAGAACGTCCAAGTGGGTTCGTTCTAAGTGTCCTCGTGGATGCAAGGCTTGCTAAATAGAAAGTTAGTACATGTAACGGTTAGTATAGTTCTTCTTAACACCAGTGCCATACTTGGCTTAGATCGATTGTAGTGGGCACATTGCTATACATGAATACTATCAGTTGCCATTGTTTTGTTCTTCACTGCATAGTGATATCGAGATTTAATAGATGCACTAATCATGCATGCGACGTTTTGCCACACTCAACATAGCATGAAAAATTAATGTTTGTGTATAAAAAGAGTTAGTGATTACAGGAAAACGGAATGTCATGGGTCAGTGAACTTCGCCTCTATCTCGGCTCACTGGAAGATGTTTTATATTTTGTTGCATTATTTTCAGTTTGAGTTCAATAATCGCTGGAGGCGATTACATAGAGGGCCTCTTTTACGTCACCTAGGTTATC